CAGGGCTCACTACCATGCCTTACTTCCATGCCAAGGGGATCCAATGCCCTCTTTTGACCTCTGCAGGCACCAGGCAAACACGTAATGCATACATGAACATGCAAGCAAATCAGTCACAAAACAAATTACTGGCATGGTTATCTTCAGTCACACATGCTTTAACTGGTTAATGATAAATTCCTGATATTTACTTGTCCATAGAAACACAGAACTATCAATGGCTTTGAGCCTCTTTCCACTATCTTCTCACATGTTCTTTTATCAGCATTATTAAGTAATAATGGAAATGAATGAACTGAATTCGAATGTTATCTTCACAAAAAGGAATTTTTATTATTCCAGAAAACCAATTTAGCTTTCTTGTTATATAACTGCAATTATTTCAAAATGCTTTAAATTATTACACCTAAATGAAGCAACAGAGAAAAAGATACAATAGTACAACATAGTCAAAATCTAGGGCGCTCACATTCCAGAGCCACAGCTCAGGAATAAAGCACTAACTTCCATTTCCTTCCCTCCCTCCCTCCCTCCCTCCCTCCCTCCCTTCTTTCTTCCTTTTTGTTAAGTAAGCATTAACTTATTGATATAGTTTTCTCTTCTTTTTAGGAACCCCAAGGCTTCCACAATTATTTTACCTTAAAATGTCTTATGTTAAGGTAACATAGACAACCATGCATTTCCAATCATTTAGATCAATTAGGATCAGTCCCTAACACTCCTGCCTTTGCAAAGCAGACAAAAGTACCAATTTTTCTTTTAAAAGAGAAAAAACCTTTTTAAAGGTAAAACTAGAAAATACTGTTTTGTGAGGTGTAAGAAACTGGATACTCAAAACTGGATTATACATGCAATAAAGCAACTAGTAAGCACAGAACATTTGGAATATTATCTGTGCATGTGTGTGCGCACGTGCACACAAGTAAGAACATCAAATCGTATGCTGATATTTAGCAGGAAATTAATTAAAATAGCTTTTTAGTGGTTTGGCTTTTTTTCTTTTTGGTTTTTTGAGACAGGGTTTCTCTGTGTAACACTCCTGGTTGTCCTGGAACTCAGTTTGTAGACCAGGTTGGCCTCGATTTCACTGAGATCCACCTGCTTTTGCCTTCCAAGGGCTGGGACTAAAGGCGTGTATCACTACTACCTGGCTTTTGAGTGGTTTTTTTTAACAGATTTTAGGTTGCTTTCCCTGTTAATTAAAATATATTTAGATGTTTTAAGTAAAATTAAATTTACTATTAATATTTATAGTATTTAACATTTCTTCAAGTGGCCCCTAAAATTTAAGGTTTAACATAAATGTTAATGATTTCAATAAGATCAAAATGGGCCTGATAAAACTTGACGGCAGTCAAATCTGTATTGCATTCATGACTGATGTATGCAGGCTCTGTTTACTGGGGGTGGTCACAGACAGCATGAACGAAAGCTGAACAAGCCTTGCAGGACACATCAGTGAACAGCCCCTCTGCATGGCTTCTGCTCCACTTCCTGCCTCCTGGTTCCTTTTTTGAGTTCCTCCTCAAGTTGCTTTTGGTCACAGTGTTTTATCAGACCAATAAAAACCCTAAGACATCTCTAAAAAACCCCAAACAAAACCTGTAAAACCAAAGCAAAGCAAACCTGACTGCTCATATGTATTATAAACTAAACTTGCACACTCTCATATGAGTTTGTTGAGAACAATCTTTAGGAATAAGGAGACCTCCTTGTCTTAAATAGAATGTCTGTTTCAAGTGTCCCCCAAAACTCCTCATCATGGGTCAGGCTGGCCCTCTGCCTCTGTAACCGTGAAAGGGGAGAAAGGCAAACAGCTAGAGGGAGTGAAAACATTTCCTACAGGGATTACGATTGCAATCTCTGCAAAGATGCCTGTGGTGGGAATGAGAACCTGGAAGCTCATGCACAGAGATGCCCTGTCTGAAAACCTCTCTATAGCGAACTCCAGTAGACTGTTTCATAACAGTTGGCTTCCCTACTCATTTTTGCTGGATGTCATTGTGTCCAATTTCATGTTACTTACCTGCTGTTTGTTCTTTTACTCTTGCCCACTACAGGTCTAATAAATGCATTCATTCTGCATCCAAAGTATTATATTGCAGATTATTCTCCAGAGAACACATCCAAATGTTTGAACAACCTAACTGCCAGGGGGTAGGTAACACACTACTATGGGTCACATCCTGAACTGGACATGTCTTTCTCAGCTCACTCATTTGCGCTTTTTTGTTTCTGCTAGTGTGACATCAGGGGCCCTTTACTTAGCATTGTACTAATTCTCAGTAGTCTACCAAATACATTTGTGTATCCTTATTCACATTTATGTTGTTTAATTTTCTACACAGTTCAGTACTAATATACACCAGAGTTCACAGATGTATGGCTCGTAAAAGAAATACAAGCTTTTCGCTTCCATATAAATAAAACTCCCTCAATACAATCACATCTCTGTGCTAACAAGACTAAGGCAGTGTGCCACATCAGCAGAGCCTCAGCTCACACGACCCACAACACTGAAGGTCTCCACCAGTTATCCTACTGAGAAAAGATCACTGGCCCCTGGCAAGAAAAAAAGGCCTGCTGCCATTGGCTCAGTTCTCACAGCTTTCAGCAGTTTGCTGATGTAGACTTTTTTGAGATTATCATGTAATTACAACATTTTCCCCTTCTCTTTCCTCACTTCAAACCCTCTCATATGCTGTCCCCTCTTTTCCTTTAAATTTATGGCCTCATCTTTCATTAATTGTTACTATATACGTATATACATACATTAGATATGTCACTTAGATGTATGTTTTCCTGGCAGATCATTTGGCACTGAACAACCATTTGGTTTGCTCTTCCCATCTAGATTTTCAAGTAGATTATTTGATCATTAGTGTTAAGGTCCTTTTGTATTATGTGTCGATAGTGAATTTATCTATCTTCTGTCTTAATTGAAGGGTGTTTAAATTTCACAATGGACAACAATGTTTACTGCTACTGAATTTTGCTACATAGGCTTTCTTAAACTAGGAGAATTTTCTTTAGCTTTCTAGGAATCTTTTCATACACAAGTGAAAATATTCTGGTAAATCATGATGTGACAACAGAGATACATTATTGTGTGTTTCTGTTTTAGATGAAATGATACTTAGCCTTCTTTTGCGAGTACTCTTACTAACCTGGTAGCTGTACTTCACGCAACTCCAGTACTACACTTGCATTCACCAATATACACATCAGTATGGTGTACTAGGCATTGAGAATTGTTTTTTACTCTGACATAATAGCAGTATTTCAGCTATCTGAACAAACTAAAATGGGGAAAATCGATTTGGACTGAAAATAGACTTGGTCTATAGCATATAGTCCTAACTTTAGGGAATTGAGACAAGAGCGTCACCAGAGCTCCAGAGTTCAAGGTCAGTCTAGGCAACAGGCAATACCTTGTTGTTGTTTTTTAATAACAAAAGTAGGAATGGAAAAAGGAGAGAGCCAGGTGAAGCCATCAATTCTATACAGAAAAGGTTTCTCAAACTTTAGAACTCTTGATATTTGAGTATGTAACTCAATCAATTTTATGTTTCAAAAACTGTTTCAAGATTCAGCAAATGTATATAGCAATCTAAACATAAGTGAGAAAAACAAAAACAGTGGTTTTGATTAAACACTTAAGTGAATATTCTCAAAAGTCCATAATTTCCACATCTCTACCTGTTAAGAAATCCATGATTCAATTCACACGCTTTCACTTTTTCCTATAAAAAGTTTGGTTTTACTCAAAAGTCTACCCTTATATTCAACTAAGCAGGGCATTGAGCAATACACACCTTTACATAATTTATTTAGGCAACAACTCATAAACAATCAGAACAATAACAACACCAATAAACACTGCACAGAAGATGAAAACTGCACATTCTTACTGAAGGTGCATTTCCTTGGAAAGAAAATCTGTAGTCAAGTGGCAAGGCTGTTTGCTATTACAAATTTGCTATGTCTGCACCTAATATATTAGTAATTTAATTACATCATTATTTTTGAAATTCTTCAAAACTCAGATCTACAATCCCTCAGAGAACCTGAAATTCTGAGTTATAGAAAATTAAATTTTCCTTGAACTTATTTGGCATCAAGCAAATGTGAGTAAGTATGAAGCTATCTGTAGTTCTCATTTATCTCACTTAGCACAGTATTTGCAGAGCGAACCTGGTGTGATAAAAAGGGTCTCTGTAGGCTACAGAAATAGAACAACTATAGACACATGTATTACTTCTCAGAGATTTGAAGTTTATGTATTGTAATATAAATAGGTTTAAGTGTCTTTGATAATACAGTATACATCTTACAATTTGGAAAAGATTCTCAACTCTTCCTTCATTTACCATCAAAAGCTACTCCATACTCCAGACACTGTCTACTTAGACACTTAAATTCTTTTTTTTTTTAAATTTTTTTAATATTTATTTATTATGTGTACAATGTTCTGTGTCTATGCCTGCAGGCCAGAAGAGGGCACCAGACCTCATTACAGATGGTTGTGAGCCACCATGTGGTTGCTGGGAATTGAACTCAGGACCTTTGGAAGAGCAGGCAATGCTCTTAACCACTGAGCCATCTCTCCAGCCCTAGACACTTAAATTCTAAGACATTTGTATAATGGAAATACTACTCTCATTCCAGGCTGTCTTTCATAAAAGAAGCATTTCACTAACAGGTGTACTTCAACATCACAAAAATACTTCAAGAGAACAAAACAAAATACTTAAGGATCTGACTATATTATACACAACATTTATTACACTATCATTTATTCTAAAAGTGATTTTACCTTGAAGGTTTTAAATTTGTACCATATTAATCTAAGTGTAAACTTAGAAACATTCTCCAAGAATAAAGTATAAAAGATAAAGGATATGTATTGCAACATTCATTAGGCTTTGCTCTCATTTTGGACTTCAGTGTCTGAATCCACATTTCAACATCATGCAACAAACCCCAAGAGAAGCACTTACTTAGGAGCAGAAGGACCCCTTGGCCACGTTCCATCTTCATTTTTTTGTTCTATCACTAACACCTGCAAACATGACACAATAAAGGGTGTTTGTGCACAGCTATGAAGTCAGACAGTTTCAGGAGATAAGCTGATAAGGAACTAAAGTAACTGATTATTTAAGGATGCAACAGACAAAATGGTCTGAAATAAAAGCCAGTGTTGATAGGAAAGAAAAAAAGAAAAAAAATCAGTTTCTGTAACTTCAAGAAAGTGTAAGTAAGTCAAATAATAAACTGGTCATAAGTTGTAAATGTGTTGAACATGTATGCTTTCAAATTGTATCTACACTTGTAACATAGGATACAGATGTTCTATCAGTGGCGCTATCATGATTTAATTATTATTATTATGCAAATATTATTGATAAACAGTAGCAAAAATTCCAAACTATAGATTACTTATAATTTAAAGTTAGTATTCATTTACATTATTTTTGTGAATTCTGAAATTTTTTTTAAAAATATTTATTTATTATGTATACAATATTCTGTCTGTGTGTATGCCTGCAGGCCAGAAGAGGGCACCAGACCTCATTACAGATGGTTGTGAGCCGTAATGTGGTTGCTGGGAATTGAACTCAGGACCTTTGGAAGAGCAGGCAATGCTCTTAACCTCTGAGCCATCTCTCCAGCTCCTGAAATCTTTATTAGAAATAATTTTGTTACCTTTACGTGTTTGTGTATAGTATGTATGGCTGCCTATATGTGCAGGCACCCAAGCTCTATGGGCATGTATGTGCCTTGATCACACATGGAGATGCGAGGACAACTTGTGGGAGTCATTTCTTTTCCTTCAGTGTGCATGGGCCTCAGTCAGACTTAGCAACAAGTGCCTTTACCCACTGATCCATCTTGCCAGCCTTAAATTATGAAAACTTTTAGTACATAACTGATAGTCACACTGATAAGAATCCATAATCAAATTACAGTAACTCAAGTACCCTGCTACAGCTTGTCTCAGATAGACAAAAATCATCTAGGTCAATAAAAGATCCCTGCCAAGATAAAGCTATACTTTTTAAAAAAAAGATTTATTACATCTACAGTGTTCTGCCTGCCTGTATGCCTGCACACCAGACTATACTTTTTTTATTTTCTCAAAACATCCCTAATGCCTTTCTCTTTTATGATCCAGGTTAAAAAAGAGGCCCTTTCTTCTATTTTTTTGTTAGGGATGAATCATGTAAGGAAGAAAATCTTAATTTAAAAATATTTATTAATTTGTGATATTACTAAGGAGAAATTAAAAATCTAAATTTTCACGGTAACCCTACAATGCAAGAGAACATGAACTGAAATACAGTACACCACAAATGAATAGCTGCAATTTTGCATGCTGTCCTAAATCCTCACAGCAACTCTCCCTGGAGGACTATGTGTTTCCAGACCATTTATAAATTGGCTTTTGACCATAATCACAAAGAATGCAATAGATAAAATATAAAGTGTGAAATGTAATTGACATTGAAATACTCATTCAAAAAATTCACGTAACTTGTTGAGACAGCATTCATTGAATAAATACTCAAGTTGCCTTTGACTAATGGATTTCATACACTCAATGTGTGTTGCACCAAGCACCTACCATCCTGACCCCTTTGATGTTCTTCTCCTTACCTACCAGTTTATCCATTATCTCAATTTTCTAATTATCATCTTAATAGAAAGTATATATTTTTAAAGATTTATTAAGTAGAATTTATTGAGTGATTCTTAGCTTAAAAGATTTTCTTTACTACAACTTGCAACTATAGTGACATACATAAACCATATCCACATATTCATAAATATTAGGTACTTCTGGAGAAATTTCAAACAAGGAATTTCAGCTATAAAAACTCCCAAAGTTTTGCATTATCATTTAGCAATAACATTTTAATATTTAATAGCATTTTTACTTAAAATTCAACATTTTATAGCTACAGATAGTAATAAACCACAAGAATAAAATTCACTCCTTTATTTAAATAATTTTCTGTATTCAGATCATTTTCTAAATAATGTTTTGCTTATTGTTAAAATTTAAGAAAAGTTCCAAATTTAAATTATACACACATCAAAGAGAGACAGGAAAAAATACACCAGTATGGGGAGGTAAATGCTTTTGTACTGTATTTCTCTCTTAAAATTTTTTAAACTGTTTATTTTTGGGTAATGTACAGTTTTGTGTATGTACTGGGACATGCACACAAGTCCAGGAACCTACAGAGGCCAGACAAGGCATTGAACCCTCTGGAACTGGAGGTACAGGTGACTGCAAGTCACCCACAGAGCTGCTGAGAACCAAACTCAGGTCCTCTTCAAGAGCAACACACGCTATTAAGCACTGAGCCATCTCTCCAATTCCATGCTCACTTTCTAATTAGGGTACTTAACATACAGTAAAGGTGGAGAGGGCAGGAGAGTGTTTCTTGGGTTTGGGAGATGGCTCAGTAGCCAAGAGTGCCTGCTGTGCGTGCTTGGTATGCACACACAAAAGCTGGCCATGGTACATATGCCTTATAACTGAGCACTGGGTGGGGTGGGCTGTTGGGAACTTGAAACAGCGAGCTTTGGGTTCAGTGAGAGTCCTATCAAAGAAAGAAGGTATATACTGAGAAGCTGACACTGATATTCTCCTCTGGTCTCTGTACACATAGAACACACACAGTTTTCTTTATTTTTAAATCTTAATTTATATTATTGGAAATGTACCTCCTCCCAAATGAACAAGTCCTCACAAATATTTAATCTTATTAAACTAGCTTAATTCTCTCATCCAAGTCTAATCTTCAATTGGACAAATGTGTATCATCAAGAATATCAAATTCTTTAACTTTATAAGATTACATTTTTCTATGTGCGGGGAAAATAATGTCAATTTTGTAAGGCCCCTAAAATATTGACTGAATTAACTCTACACAATGTCAAATTATGTTCCTACTGCAAGTACCAACAGATGGTAACCTGGGCAGAGGTTCGTGTCCAGTGGAAGTGAACTCATTAGCTGTCAAGGAGATTATGTCTTATATGATCTTCAATCAGGCAACTCTCCTACTGCGAATAATGAACTTCAGTTTCACTTAAGAATGGCTAAAATAAGTTTGAAAATCATTACTTTAATGTTTTTGAGATTCTGGAGGGGATTATATGGCTAATGTCACACCATTTCTTTCTTTCTTTAGAAGATTTTAATGAATGTGTACAGGTGAGCATGTGTGTGGGCACAAGCCTGTGCAGCCAAGGTCAGCGTCAGGTATCACTGAGTCACCATAGCTAAGTCACCTGCTCCTGAGGACGGGGTCTCACTGAAACCTAGGTTTGCCCATTACATGAGGCTGCTTCAACGAGGAACCCCAGGATTTGCTTGTCTCCATCGCTAGCGTAGCAAGCACTCAGCACAATGGACTAGTTCCCCAGCTGGGGATCAAACTCAGGTCCTTAGGTTTGCGTAGTAAGACTTGGAACACCTGACTAGTTCCCCAGCTAACCAAACTGTCTTTGATAGTCTAGTATAATACTTGATATATAGCAGATATTTACTAACAATTCATCTCAGTTTCTCTGAGTTTTTAAAAATAACTATATTATTGATGTTAATAGTAATTTTCAAATAAACTGACAGAAAAAAGTTATCTACACATTGAATCACCAGTCATTATATTAGGTACTAGTAATTTTTTTTTTTTCGAGACAGGGTTTCTCTGTGGCTTTGGAGCCTGTCCTGGAACTAGCTCTGTAGACCAGGCAGGTCTCGAACTCACAGAGATCCGCCTGCCTCTGCCTCCCGAGTGCTGGGATTAAAGGCGTGCGCCACCAGCGCCCGGCGGTACTAGTAATTAAAACAACAAACTCTAATCAAAATATGAACCTTAGTATATTTTTAAAAGATACTAATAAATCAATACAGAAAGTAGGGGAGAAATTTTTCTTAAATGAAGATAAATGGATACTGATAAAAATAAGGACAGGTAAAGAGCTGTGTTTTAGGGCTGAAACTTGAAGGATAAATTGATGCAACCTGACGGTTAAAATAATTTTTTACGGGATAGATACAGGGAAATGGGAAGAATGGTACACCAGGTACATGAACAATGCATTCAAAAGCTCACTATAGGAATACTATGGCAACCAAAAGACAAGGATAGTCTAAAGATAGACAACTAGACAAAGGGCTAAACTATGACCTGTACATTGGTTAAGGAGTCTGGACTTCATAACCTTTACGGAGCAAGGAAAAGTTTATGAGAGGCAAAGAGTCAGATTTACATCTTAGAATGAATATTCTAGTGAAGTAAGACTACACGAATATGTAAGAAACTGGAGGTAACAAGGCACGTTGACTATGAAAGACAAGGGCTGGGAAAGAAATAGAAATTAGTTGAAGAAATAGCTACAAGGTAGATTCTGTTGCTAATTGTGATGAAACACTATATATGTATACATAACTTCTCACTATATTTAATTATTTTAGACTATACCAAAAGGGAAGATCGAATTGGGAGCTGATAGGCCCAACAGCTTTAGACAAGCTACAGTTTCCTAAGCCTACAGCTCTGTTAAACCAGTTTATTTGTGATACAGCTGTCTCTGCTTCTTTGTGCAACACCTATGGCTGATTTTATACCGTTACCATGGGAGAGTCACAGCTGCAACAGAGACTGACATATGGCCAGTAGAGACAAAAGACTATTTGATCCTTATGTAGTCCGCTGATCTATCTTACAAAATTAGCTATTTTCAGTGAAAACATTCCTAAGAAGTAGAGTGTTTCCAAGCTCAACAAGGAAACTAGAAATTACAATTATTGACCAGTGAGGACAGAGAAGAGTTAGAAAGAGGTAGCCAGAGACAGACTCATCATGTATCACACAGTATTTACAAAGTTTTTAAAGGCACAAATTATTTAAAAGCTGCATTTAAAATAAGCATTCCTGTTGGGCTGGAGAAATGGCTCAGCAGTTAGAACATTTGTTGCTCTTGCGGAGGACCTACGTTCAGTTCCCAGCACCCAAATTAGGCAGCTTACAACCCCTGTAACTCCAGTTCCAATTCTAAGGGATCCAGTGCTCTCTTCTGGTCTCCATGAGCACCAGACATATACATGGTTCAGACATACTCGCAGGCACTCACACATACAAATAAAATATAAAGAAATAAATCTTAAAAAATTATTGCCAAAAATACCTGTCCTTGATATAAGCCAGCATCCTGAATGGTGCTATCTGGTTTATTCAGCGGCTCAAATGTATTACTCATATACTTGTTCCACAATCTAGTCTCCTTCTCATCTGGAATATTGAAGATTTTTCTTATTTCCTTTTCAATTGTATCTAAGATTTAAGAAGGGAAGATATGTAAATACAATATATTAAAAAAATAGGTATATTAATTACAAAGAGGTAAATGCTTACCAGTCTAAACATTATGAATTTATAAAATAAGGATAAAATAGCAAAATCAGATAAGCAAATACATAGACCAGCTATGTGTTTTTAAAGGGAAATGGTAATTTTCATACTGATAGATGATTATTTGAGGAATTAGACTGCAAAAGAAAGCAGAAACAAAAGAATGATTAAAAGACCAAAATTAGAATATATTCATATTCATAATGCAATCAATTTAACGAGTATCTTACATCAAAGAATGAGAATATATTCCCAAAATATGCTATGAGATTATGTGTAGGATTGCAGAAACAATCCAAACATTCCATTTTTCTTATAGATTTCTTTTTCAATAAAGATGATTGTTACATATATCTAGTGTGTGTGCATCTTTATTGGTATGTGAGGAAGCATGTGCATGCATGGGTGTCGTCATCAGAGGATAATTTGAATGAGCTGGTTCTCTCTTTCCACCACGTGAGCTCCAGGGACGGAATTATGAGATTGTCAGGCGTAGCTGCAGGTACAACTATAGCTGATGAGCCATATTGTTGGCCTGATACAACCATACTTTTTACCTGAGAAACTGCAAGAGGTGGCAACTGATTACCAAGATGGGAAAAATGTGAAGTAGAGGGATGCGGGCTAGGGAAGAGTCTAACTTCATGTATAACTATAACTCTTTTTTTTTTTTTTTTTTTTCGAGACAGGGTTTCTCCATAGCTTTTGGTTCCTGTCCTGGAACTCACTCTGTAGACCAGGTTGGCCTCGAACTCACAGAGATCCGCCTGCCTCTGCCTCCCAAGAGCGGGGATTAAAGGCGTGTGCCACCACCGCCCAGCTTATAACCATAACTCTTAACATACATAAATGAAGATACAAGGTGGCTGAAACTGAAATCAACAGTGTTCATTTGGACATTAATATTTTATGCCAGGAAATCAGATGAAGTTAATTAAAAAAACAAAACAGAGATGGACCAAGGGAGAGGAGGCCAAGTATGGCGAACCAATACTTTCCAATTAAGGAACTGGTGTGTTTCTAGACAAGTAGTGTATGATGTTCAGTTTTGCTGGTTGGTTAAGAAAATGGGAGACTTTTAAATCATCACTCAACTTGGCAGTGAGGAACTCACCAGAGACCACGAGAGAAAGAGTAAAAAGAGAGTTAGCCCTGCTGCAGTGTGCCCGAGAATGAACAAATAGAGGCTGCAAACAACACGTGCTAACCGAGGGGGCAGGTACAGCTAAAGATGACAGCAGGCATTGCTCTTGATGCTTCTTAGCCTGCTGCCCTGCCTATCTGCAGCAACCGATTTCTAAATAAATTAATAGTAAAAACAATGACAGCGAAAGACAACAGGGAGTTAGGGGCTGGGACTGTGTGTGTGTCAAACACTGGAGATGAACTGAGGGACTAAACATGTGTTTTCTACATATCACTCTGACCCTATTACTCATGAAGTCAACGAACATTTTTTTAAAATACACAAAACAGAAAATTGTGAAGAACATTTCTTGTAGGAATATTTACTTATGAATTCAACCAATTTTATTAATTTTTATTTAAAAAGCAGTTTTTAGTAGCTTTAGAACAAACTGTATCCTTAGTGGTTAGCCCTGAAACATATGAAGTTGAATTTAATTGGACACTCAGCGCCCAATTAGAGCAATTTAGAGAGTAAAAGAGTCAAAGGCAAGTATTTCAGCCCTAACAGTCTAAACTATTTCAAACTGTCTACTGCTATCATTTTACTATCATGTGGGTAGGAAATAGACTATTTTATTAACTTAGAAACACAAAATTGGAATTTAATTTCCTAATTCTAGGTAGACAACAGACTTATAAAAAATTAGTTTCAATTAAGGTTTTTAAAGACCAAAGGGAAACCACACACACACAGACACACACACACACACACACAATCTTTTGCTTATTATCCTAATTCCAAGCAGTTTGAAAAACATCCATTTGACAGTAAGAAATTTCAAGTTACCAAAAATTCAGTTCATTTATAATATTAAGACATATATTCCATGCCTGTAGCCTTAAAAAGTATTAGAATATCTAAAGTATATGGATAAAAAAAATCTATGTAAGATCAAACTTTTTGAACAGATATTCTGTATAAATTACATTTATCTTCTATAAATTTTTGTTTAGTACTTAATGCAAAAACTTCCTAATGGTTGTTTTCAGTGCAGAAATTAAAATCAATTGCTGATTTCATGAGTTTTTTAAGTCAAATAATTAAAAAAAAAGGTATCTGATGGATTCAGATTTTCTATAACATTTCTGCTAAAATCAAAATTTATAACTTGCTAGAGATCTGATGATTACTAATTATACTAGCATGTAGTTATTTATATTCCAGTTGGTTTTTAAAGATCCACAAGGTGATATGTAGGTTGCTGAGGGAGAATGGTAAGCCCTTGAGAGCAATAGCATAAGAACTCTTGCAGTTCCAGGTGACCAACAGCCATCCCACTTGATTTAAGGACTGTTAGAGTTGAGCAAAGTCATGCTTGGTGCTGTAAACCTGGCAAAGAGCCTGTGGAAGGAGAGGTCACAGACCATACATGATGATTTACTATTTTGCTAAACTGGTCCAGCGGCCTTCTATAAAACCATGGATACAGCACAGCTATCACCCCTCATTTTCTTTCAGTGTTCTTAGTGACAGTGTCCAACTTCACAGTACACTAATTTCTTAGTGACAGTGCCCAGCTTCACAGTACACTAATTTCTTAGTGACAGTGCCCAACTTCACAATACACTAATTTCTTAGTGACAGTGCCCAACTTCACAGTACACTAATTTCTCTGGCATGCTGAGTTCTGCATGTCATTGTATTTTCCAATAAGATCACTTATCTTTTTTTTTAATATTTATTTATTATGTATACAATATTCTGTCTGTGTGTATGCCTGCAATCTAGAAGACGGCACCAGACCCCATTACAGAGGGTTGTGAGCCACCATGTGGTTGCTGGGAATTGAACTCAGGACCTTTAGAAGAGCAGGAAATGCTCTTAATCTCTGAGCCATCTCTCCAGCCCCCGGATCACTTATCTTTTAAATAAATATTTGATTTGAAGATAAATGTGTTCATATTTGTTAGCACTGCGCATTATAAAGGTATCAGAAGAGAGGCTAATGGGGGTGAATGTCATTCTATCACACACATGTATGAACATTTCATAATTAAAGCTATTAACATGTATAATATGTATAATTAAAATTCTTAATGTGCTCAATTCAATGTCAATTTTTATACAAAGCTATATAGAGAACTAGGTCCACTGATAGTTGAAACTATGTTTTTCTTTTTATTTCTCTCTTTCTTTTTTTAAAGTTTTTTTTTTTTTTTGAGACAGGGTTTCTCTGAGTAACAGTCCTAGCTGTTCTGGAACTTGAACTTGCTTTGTAGACCAGGCGGGCCTCAAACACACAGAGATCTGCCTGCCTCTGCCTCCCGAGTGCTGGGATTAAAGGTGAGCACCACCACCACCCTCAGTCCCGAGACTACATTTTTCAAGCTTACTCATTAACAAAAATCCCTCAATATGCTGTAGTTAACATCAAGCCTGCCATCTTGGCTACTTACCTGGAATAAAAATAATACCAATTGACTTTTTATTCCCCATTCTTGGCCAATTTTATTGGAACATGGTATAAAGTTCTACTTAAATTTATATTTTGTTGTTACAAACAAGGCATGCAATGTTCAAATGCTAATTTTAAAATTTGATTCTCTTAAATTAAAAATGATCAAACATTCAACTCATTTAATAAAAAAGTAAAAACAAGCTAGTCCACTATAAGCTAGGAGATATGCATGGAAGCTGAGACTGTACAGTGTTTATGAATCTACCTGTAAGCAGATTAGTACCACAGCAGACTACAACCAAGAACCACGACTACATCTCTAAAAACAGTGACGTGCATTACCTATTGTGTCAGCTTTGCTAAATCGCCGAGTGACAACATTGTTCATGTTCCCATTCTCACAGAGCTTCAGTTCTGTGAGATACACTTCCACTTTGCAGTGCTTTACAAACATACCCTGTTCTACCACCTAAAAAAAACAAAAACAAGTTAGCATGCATTCTCTCAATGTAGTTCTCATAGTAATACATATCTTTAACAGAGCCTCAGAAAAACTAGATATTCAATCAAATATAATAAGCTATTATAAACAATTTAAAACATTAACAGTCTAGAAAGGCATTCTACTAATTTGTTAAGATTTTGGTATGCCATAAACAATAAATTTACCTAAGTTAAATCAAAATGACTGTAAACCAATTTCCTATACATGATTTTCACATATAGCTACGAATAAAGATACAGGCAGATGTCTACCTTTTTAACAGTGTTCTGACACGGAAAACTTACAAAGCTTTATGTAATAGTATCTACAAGGTCTGTTATTACTATTTATGTTAAAACATGTCTTTTAAAATGACCACTCTGTCCCTGTAATAGATATATTTGTTTCACTCTCTAAAATGACTTAGTCTGATCTCTAAATGGGTACTTAATAAGTCTATGGAGCACACAAACAAAGAAAAGCTGTCAAGCATGCAAGAAATAAAATATAAGACAATAAAGTATTTTCTATTAGGTTCACCTTTGAAATAAGTATATTTCCTTTTGCTCTTCTAAAGGTTAACTGTAGGATTCCCGTCATGAACACTGTTTCTGAAAATAGTAACTGGCCTGATATGTGATACATTAGACACATACGGCAAAAGGGAGGCGCAAAGACGCACATGAACCAGCAGACTCACATCAAAGTCAACATGGGAACCACAAAACTCCTCTTTCACTTTCACGAAAAACTGTTTCAACTCAGGGTTTTTAAATAGTTTATCTTGAGTTTCTTAGATAATCCAACATAACTTTGCTTTTTCAGATATGTTCTCTTCATCATGTTCGTTGCAAATCTTTACAACAGTTTTATAGACCATATGTCTCACATTTTAATAACTTAACTCCCAGCGCAAAACTTTTAAGTTCTAACCAAGATGATTTAGCCCTCTTACAGAGTCGCACTGTTTAAGAATGTAACAATTTACTGAGTTTCTCTAAGATTTTCTCATAGCAATTTGATAATTTAAAAAAACTAGGAATCAAATATTCTTACCAACAGAAACCTTGGGACTGAGACTCATATCTGAGTAAAATCCTAAAATACTATAGACTGTAACTTTGTTTAGCTTCACTAAAGTCCACATTACAGTATTTCTCCACTAAAATGAAATTTCCTTTTCTTGACCTGAGAAACTGATTTTCGGTTTCATTTCTCCCACTTTTTGCATTTAGTTGTAAAGGTCCTCCTATGCAGAAATGCCAACAGTTTCACTATGTGACCTAAGCAGCTCCACCCCAAAACACTGAATAGTGAGATCATGCGTGCACACCAGCAGGAACCATGTGTCTTAACCACTTGTTTAAGTTGTATTTGATTGTCATTTAGTTTAAATTTTGATGGTTTCAAATGGTACTGTTGTAGATAGCTGGGGGAACAAGATCTCTTTGTTACTAATTTCTAGCTTAATTCCACTAGGAACTGGAAACACACAGGATACCTTCTCTCATTTGTCATTTCAGGAGTTTGTCTGATGACCCAGGATCTGATCAATTGCTCATTATCTTTATATACAGACAATAAGCAGTACAAGTGGATATTAGGCACCACTTTGGCAAATCACTAAATTCATTATACTTTTTTTTTTAAAATCTTTCAGTTTGTAGTAGAGAGATTTGCAAGAAAGATCATATTCCTCATAGTCTCCAAGGTCTTCCTACTCTTCCTCTAAGTCTTCATTGATACCCTCCTCAAACGGCAAATTCTCAGTCTGCTCAAGGCCTTTTAGGCTTTTTTTTTTTTTTGATACTCATATTTTCTGATCACTGAACAGCCAAAGCCACCATAGTCCCTGTTTGTTAATACTCCAGGTTCCTAAACTAGTTTGAACAGCCTACTGACACATGAGGAATTATCTTAAGGCTTCACTAACCGCAAAAATCTTAGATCATTTCTGAGGGCCAAAAATCTGTGGGCAGTTTAGCCAGGCAATCTGAGTTAAGATTTCTCAAGAAGTTTCTGTCGAGTTTTAGGTTATGGCTTCATAAGACTCAATTAGAACTCATTTTACTGGCTGGGGGCGGGGGGCGGCTTCCTGGAATACACAAATGTCCTTAACAGACACCTGGGATAAACACTGTATGATCTCCCATCTTAATCTTAAAATATGTCACACCAGGCGTAGAAGACACCAGTATTCCCCAACTAGGGGATCAGCGTCAGAAAATACACAGGAAGATAAAGAACTACTCCGTTTTGAAAAATCCTTCCCTTGGACATAGAATCCTTGACTGCCAATTATTCTTGTAGTGCTAAAAATAGTGCACTGCTTCCTGTCTTCCACTGTTTGCTAGGAAATCATTTCTTTGACTTACTCTTTTGTAGGACAATGTATCCTTTTGTCTAACAATATTGAGGAATATCATTTTGTCCTGTTAACTTTTGATTAGGTGTTTATATATTTCAGTCTGAGAAAGTGTTTTCTGACTCTGTAATTTGGTACTTTCTCAGTTTGGGAACTACTTCAGCTATTTCCTCTTCAGGTATTAGCCCTACCTGCCCTAAGATTCCAATGATAGGTACTTATAGTGACTAAACTTAGTCACTATACCAAGTACAACTTCACTTTTTAAAGATATTCTGTTCCTTGGTATAATTTCTATAATGCATATTTTCTAAAAATTCACTTTTCAGCTCTCTTTACCACTACACTCAAAAGTATATTGTTTATATTATAGTTTCAGAAGTGTCGGGATCTTATTTAATAGTTTTGTGCTACTTCCCAGTTATTTATTTTTTGAGCTTACTAAGTCTACTGTCACCATGAACTGTCCCTACAGTCTATGTCTACTGTCACCATGAACTGTCCCTACAGTCTATGTCTACTGTCACCATGAACTGTCCCTACAGTCTATGTCTACTGTCACCATGAACTGTCCCTACAGTCTATGTCTACTGTCGCTTTTCCAGTTTGGCTCACTTATTGCATCTCTTGCTTATTTCCTTGTTTTCTGGTTAGCTTGATTTTAAGGCAGAGTGCCTGACACTAACTTTAGTTGAAAAGTTTAAAAACTTAGTCCCCAAAACATAGTTACTTTTGTTTATGTATCATAGATTCTTTAATGTAACCAGAGATTAATACAATTCAGAGCTGGACACCAGACTCTACAAGAACAGTTACTGTGCTTCTTTCTCTCTATCTCAGGGTAGAGTAAAATGCAACTTCTTAGACCTACTGAATCAATTTGGAGGGAAAATGCATTGCTCTGTTTGTTTGTTTGTTTGTTTTTTGTTTTTTTGAGATAGGGTTTCTCTGTGTAACAATCCTAGCTGTCCTAGAACTAGCTCTTCTAGACCAGGCTGGCATCGAACTCACAGAGATCCTCCTGCCAAGTGCTGGGATGAAAGGTGTGTGCCAACACTGGGAAGATAAATTTCTATAAGAATTCCAGACAATTTTATGTATATTAAAGTTTAAAAAGTACATGTTGAAAGATTTGAATTCACCTTATTAAGAACAAATGTACAAACTTCTAACAGACTTTCCAAACTTTTCTTTGTGTGAACTTTCCATGATTCTTTCTTTTCACTTTCATTTCCTTAGTTTTCAAAAACCAAACTTCAATAAGTCCTTTAAAAAAGACTAAGAATTTTAAAAAGGCAATGCATTAGTTGATAGATCTAGTACCAATACTGAAACTTGTAGTGTACAATGTACTCCAGGCATAAGGAAAAGAATTTAATACACATATACACTTTTCTTTAAGAAGTGAGTTTTGGGCTGGAGAGATGGCTCAGTGGTTAAGAGCATTGCCTGCTCTTCCAAAGATCCTGAGTTCAATTCCCAGCAACCACATGGTGGCTCACAACCATCTGTAATAAGGTCTGGTGCCCTCTTCTGGCCTGTAGGCATACACAGACAGAATATTGTATACATAATAAATAAATATTTAAAAAAAAAAAGAAGTGAGTTTTGTCAAGGCCAAATGGATCAAAAAAAGACTTCGATATAAAACCAACCACACAGAACCTCACAGAAGAGAAAGTGGGAAGTACACTTGAACACATTGGCACAGGAGACCACTTCCTAAATAGAACCCCAGTAGCACGGACACTGAGAGAAACAATAAATGGGACCTCCTGAAACTGAGAAGCTTCTGTAAAGCAAAGGACATGGTCAACAAGACAAAACAGCAGCCTACAGAATGGAAAAAGATCTTCACCAACCCAACATCGAAAAGAGGACTCATCTCCAAAATATACAAAGAACTCAAGAAACTGGTCATCTAAAGAGCAAATAATCCACTAAAAAAATGGGGTACAAACCTAAACAGAGAACTCTCCACAGATGAAAGGAGAATGTCTCAAAGGGCTGAAAGACACTTAAGGAAGTGTTCAACATCCTTAGTCATCAGAGAAATGCAAATCAAAACAACTCTGAGATTCTATCTTACACCTGTAAGAATGGCCAAAATCAAAACCACTGATGACAACTTATGCTGGAGAGGTTGTGGGGAAAAGGATACACTTCTGCATTGCTGGTGGGAATGCAAGCTGGTACAGCTGCTTTTAAAAATCAATATGGCAATTTTCATACTGATCAGTATGGAATATTAGGAAACAACTTACCTCAAGACCTAACAAAACCACTTTTGGGTTGATACCCAAAAGACGCTCGCTCAATCATACCACAAAGACATGTGCTCAACTATGTTTATAGCAACATTATTTGTAATAGCCAGAACCTGGAAACAGCCTATATCCCCCTCAACCGAAGAATGGATAAAGAAAATGTGGTACATTTACATGATGGAGTACTACTAGTGGTAAAAACAATGACATCTTGAAATTTGCAGGCAAACGGATGGATCTAGAAAAAACTATATTGAATGAGGTAATCCAGACCCAGAAAGACAAATATATATTTATTCACAGTGATTTTTAGACATAAAGCAAAACAAACAAACAAACAAAAAAAACAGCCTACAGGCCACAACCTCAGACAACATAGATATCAGAGAGGACCCTAAGAGAGACATACATGAATCTACATAGGAAGGTGAAAAAGACAAGATCTCCTGAGTAAATTGAGAGCATGGGGGTCACTGAGGAGGGTAGGAGAGAGGAGAAGAAGGGAAGGGAGTGGAGAAAAAAATATAGTGCAATAAAAAACAATTTAAAAAAGTGAGTTTTGGGATATAAGAGAGGGTAACAATACACTATATATTCATTCATATAAAATTATAAAAATATTTTAAAGGAAAAACTGTTTTTAAAACAATGAGGTTTCTCTTTCAGTGCCATTTCATATTTAAAAGGCTATCCTTCAGCAAATCAGAGCACTCAATTCTCCAAGAATGACAAAACCAATGACCTATATTAACATTACACAAATCAGAATCAATCATTCAATAGATATATGAGGTCAGTTTATTTACCTTAAATCTGATATTCTACCAGAGTAACACCCACTTGAGTTCCAAAAAAGTTCATTTTTAATATTTCTAAAGTGTAACTGTAGAACTTTAAAAGACTGAAAAAAATTACATTTTCATTTTTAAAGTATTTTATGTTGTTAAAACATTTCTTCAACTTTTAGTTTAGTTTTTAAATTGGAAAGAAGCAGTGCACCATATAGAAAAGTGGTCCCTCCCTCTTTTTGTCCTCATGTCCTCAACTGTTAAATAAAGATACTAATTCTGTGTTAACCAGTCAATCATGAGTACTGTCCTTAGGAGATGAGAATGAAGCTAAGTTTCTATACTACGCTATCAGCTGTTAGTACCTAGTGCACAGGAATGTTTTCCTCACTTTTCTCCTACGGTAAGTTAAGAAGGCTTCCGAATACATTGAATTACCAACATGAGCTACTTAACAAAATATATTTATATTCCGTTATTCTCAAATATACCTTTCTTGCTATTGGCTCTTGGCCCTCCATCAATGTGTACCAGCTGACAAGTTTATTCCAGCCCTCGGTTGGCAGCAGTATGTAATCCAACTCATCAATAAGGTGCTCTTTAAGTGACTGGGCATCGCCATCTACAAAGGAAAAAATAAACTCAGTACAGAATAGGAAACAGCACACATCTCTAAATATACACTGTTACATACACTACAAACTAATGAAACTCATGAAGGTGATCTGAAGTATTTGCAATAATGAATTCTGGGTGGGAAAAAAAAAATGCCAAAAAGGTTCAAATCAATATTCTTCAAAATAAGCCACTGCCTGAAAAATCTTCAAAGTGCTATTAGTCAACCAGTAGTGTTAAAATGACATTATTTTTCTTAGGTTCCTAAAATATTAATACATTAATATTAGCTAAAACACTATCAGAAGAGGATCTTTTTTTTAATAATTTTTTTATAATTTATTTAACTTTATTTTATGTGGATTGGTGTGAAGATATCAGATTCCCAGAAACTGGAGTTACAGACAGTTGTTAGCTGCCATGTGGGTGTTGGGAATTGAACCCAGGTCCTCTGGAAGAACAGACAGTGCTCGTAATGGCTGAGCCATCTCTCCAGCCCCCCTCAGAAGAGAATCTTTAAATATTCTAAGTGTCAGTGATCCCTTACACAAGAGTGGGGGGATCAAAGACTAAGTAGAAAATTCATGAACAAATCGATAGTTCTTTTCTTTTTTGCGACAGGGTCTCATGATGAGGCCCAGGCTGGCCTAGAATTTGCAAACCTTCTGTCTTAGTCTCCCAAGTGTTAGTACAGGCATGTTACAAGCTGGTCAAATATCAATCTGTTACAGCACTAAACCAACAACACATCAAATGACTCAAATGTACATAAGCTTGAAACCTACGGAAAAGTATTTATTTTTATTTTTATTTTTTTATTTTGTAAAGCATCTATTTTATTCTGGAAGACCTACAATTGGGATTCAGCCCCAAATCTGAAATGGTGGTTTTATAGAAGTAATTTGAATTCTGATGTACTTTAAAAATGCCCAAGCTAAACTCAGAACTTCAGTTTAATCCAGGGCAGAGGCCTAGGAATAATTTCCTGAGTCAGGGCAATGTCACTGTCCCATTCTGAGACTCGTTTATTACTTGGTCCCTTGAGTTCCCAAAGTGCTTGAAAGAGAACTAGCTCCATGACTTACAGCTAACCTGAAGGAGGTTTTCATGACCTGAGTTGATGTCAATCATCAAAGGAAGGAACACTGTTCTCTGTGGTATTTCTATGAGAATGTACTATTCTATTCCTGCAGGAAAGAGGCTCAAGAAGGTAACAGAATTATTCTTTTAGAATTCACCTGTGAATGTCTGAACTTTGAGAAAGTAATGTTTTATATAGAAACAAAATTGGAAAGTTTGAATTTTACCTGATCTTCAATAGAAGAAGTAAAACGAGTACTACATGTAGCGAAAAATTACTACACTTATTGTATATGCATGGAATATTCACACATGTGTCAGGGTACACCTATAGAGGAAGGATAACAAAGGTGACAATTACCTTTACCAGCTGGGCCATCTTACCAGCCCTAATATTAACTTTAAACACAGGTTTTTAGACTGGTTGTAAAGTGTAAATTGTTTTCAGAAACTACAAAGATCAAGACAATTATATATACTAAGTAAGCAAAATATACTGTGGGCTATCACACAGCAGATAACTATGGCAAACACACTACTGTTAAGTTCTCTAGCCAACTAGTGTCTTTATTATAAGAATATAACAGAAGGGCTGGAGAGATGGCTCAGCTGTTAAGACCACTGACTGCTCTTCCAGAGGTCTTGAGTTCAATTCCCAACAACCACATGGTGGTTCACAACCATGAATAGTGGGATCTGATGCCCTCTGCTGGTATAAAGGTGTACATGCAGATTGAGCACTCAGACATAAAATAATTCTTAAAATATATGTATTCAGAGATAGTGAGTAACTTGCCCCAGGTAATCACATAAAATTAAGGGCAATAAAAACTTTTTTCTTTTTTTTTCTTTTTTTAAGAAAACCACGTTATTAGTTGGGTATGGTAGTGGTGCACACCTTTAACCCCAACACTGGGAAGGTGGAAATGAAGGCCATCAGCTACAGTGTGTTCTGTTCAAAGGGCAATCTGAGCTGGGCAGGAAGCAGAGAGGGAGAAATAAAATCCTTGGTATTTTATTCTAGGTTTTTTTTCCCGAGTAACATTAAGAAGTAGGTAGCTCCATTTTCATTAGTAAATAGACAGAGATGATAACTTGCTCAAGGTTCCATATACAAAAATCTGCAAAGACTGAATTCAAACATGAATATGTTTATTCTAACTCCCTGTGCTTTGCCATATAGTGCAATCTAGCCAGAAGAACACTTGGGAAAAATTTATAATCAAGGCATACATGTTATTTTTTACAATAATGGAGCTTATATAGTCTGATTATGTGACAGAACTCACATAATATTATAAATATTTATAATATTATTGTAAATAATATTATAATATAATTTACAATAAAATAAGTTTATCTTTGTGTGTGGAGAACACCTTCAAATTAAAGAGAAGGGATTTGGTTTTGATTTGTCACTTCTGTATCTAATGATGTAACTTCTAAACAATAAACTGTACCTACTTAAATCAAACAAACTGGTAAGTTTTTAAACAGAAGAGGAAATTTATTAGGCCAGTACACTTGCAGGGATTCCAACAGCTGTAATGGGCTAACAGCTAAAATCACATCCTTTTATAGGACAGAACATGCTGTAGTCACAGATTCTAAGTCTCGGTTGTGCATATTTATGAAGACAGTCCCTCTTGCACCTTGCATGATGAACTAGAATGTAGATTCGTTTCTATTTGCCCTTTGATGTTTAGTCTGTATGCTGGCCTCACATTTGTCAAGCATGGACTAGATAACAATCATGAGCTCGCTCTTTCAGGCCTTTCAAAAATGGCTGAACAGGAAAAATAGCTGAACAGTCCAAAGAGCATCTCTGGTCTGAATGTACAAATTAATTTCGTTCTAAGGATAGGTAGTAATAGAACCAGAAAATTCCACTTTTAGGTTCTTCATTATTGTGTAGGAGATAATTTCCTAGTATGATCCTCCTTGTTCAATACAAATATAACAAACACAGTCTCTGTTCTAGCTGCTAGGACTATTGTCAAGACTATCTTGTTTTTCCTTTCAGTTCACTAAATCTTCCATTCTGTTATTTTCCTCTCCAGCTCCTGGTTCTCTTCTGTTGTGGGGGCTTTCAGAGTCCTCAGGTGCTGGTGCTGTCGCAAAGAAAGCTGTGTCCCATGCCATGAGCTATATGGGCAAAGAGAGGTGGGTAAGTTCTCTCCTATCTACTAACTATGAAACTATCACTATTACCAAAATGATAATCCATCTATCACCCTAAAAGTTCCCCTGTGGCTCTCTACATGTAATCTCTCTGCCTGACTGGATTCTACTGTTATGATAATTATCACTTATGTTTTACAATTAATTTGCATTTCCTAGAATTTTATAAAAATATTACCTGCTTTTTGTTACTGTAACAAATTACATTTTCTATAAATGTACATAAAATAATATGCCCTCTTTCTGTTTGGTTTTAATTGTACTAGTCTTGATTTATAGATATTTTATCGATCAGCAACTTATTTGTTTTTTTAAGTGCTAAGTATGGTTTCATTTATATGAATATACTATCATTGCTTATTCATTCAGATGTTGACAGGTATTTGGGTTGCTGGCAAGTTTTTTCTTACAAATAACACTATGTGAATATTAATGTAGAACTTTTCTTATGGGTAAATGTTTTAATTTCTCCTAAGTAAATACCTAGCATACTGTGATTGGGTATTACGGCTAATAGATGTTCAACTTTAAATCTCTTTGCTCTCCATCCTTGTTAGCAGGTGTCAAGAGTGTTTTTTTATATTTTAATAAAGTTGTGCATACATAATGGCACCAGATTATGGTTCTGCACATCAAACTCCGGATTGCATGTATATAGATGCTTTACCACTATGCCACATCCCTGATCAACTGTCACTGTGATTTTCGTTTTCATTTTTTGGGGGCCTTTTAATTATGTAAGTATGTGTGTCTGTGCCATGAGGCACCCAATGCTCATGAAGCTGAAGTCATGTTGTGATCTGACAGTGCTGGTGCTGACAGCTGAACCTGGGTCTTTTGCAGGGGAAGCACAACCTTTCAAGTGCTGAGCCATCTCTCTAGCCTCTACCTCTTCATTTCTTTCATACTAATAAAGCTGAACATTTACAGCCATTCCTTTGCAAAACTATTTTCTTCTTTGGTATAGTAGTATGCACGTGAACAACTATATGGGCATATTTATGTGTAGGTAGTTACATGTGCATGTAGGTAGGAGGGTGTTGACTGGGTGTTCTTCCTTGGGAGCTGATTTTCAGAGAGGGTGTCCCACTAGTCTTGAGACTTACCTCGCAGACTAGACTGGCTGGCCAGCAGGCCGAGGTCTGTAGTTCCCAGTGCAGGAATTACGAGAGTACAACACCAAGTCTTGCTGTTTATATGTTCATTCCTGTGCAGTAAGAACTTTATTGTGGTACTTCCCTAACCCCTCTTTTAGTAAAGCAAAGATTTATTCAAAATTGTTTTACCTACTTTTTCACTGGGCTTAATGTTTTCTTAAAGATAGGTTTTACTCTTCTGTGGTAAAAGAAAAAAAACCTTTTATGATTTGAGACAGGTTTTATGACCCAGAATATGGTCCATTCAGGTAAATGTCGTCCATATACACCCATCAGCCTGACTAGAGATTATGAGTCTTTCAAATGTTTTCTATGATTGTGGCTTTTCTGTCCCTCACATGTAGATCATCAACTGCAAGGACTCATTTTATTCCTGTTTTTGTTTTGTGCAGGATCTATCAATTCTTCCTCTAATTTCTAATTTACACACCACACGTCAGAAACCTGGAGGCAGGCTACACTCCACCTGTTCCTTCTGCGGAAAACACCATGGTCTAAGCCTTTCTTCACATACAGGTGCAGCAAGTCACAGCCTCTTTTATTTCAAATTCCCTATCCAACTACGCTGGCCCTGGGAATACCCCAGTGAGATACGGTAGAAACCCGCCCTTCACACAGGCACATGGAAATGGGCTTCCTCTGCTCCTCTACTGTGGGAACAACCATCCAGTTCAGCAGTACCGCCTAATACTGCAGAGCTGTCACAACTAAATCAAGGTCCTTACTCATTTTCCTTCCTTCTTCACTTCTAGGCACCCAAAGCATGCCGGTTCAGACACATAGGAGCCGAGAAAGCCCAGTCCTCCAGCTGTTGCCAACAAGTCAGGATGCTAGGCTGGGAGCTGCCTCACTCCTCACCAGCCTTTCTGGCAGAAAAGTCTCAGATTTTTACTACTCTTAATCTCACAAAGCAGTTTTATTAAAGCAGTCAACATGTATTTTCCTATTAACAGGTCCCAGACATCAGAACTAGTGTGTTCCATTCAGGGCTTCATGTGAAGTAAAACACCGGCAACTTGGCCATGTGTGGTGTTAATAACCACACTGAAACCTGGGAACTTAAATACACTCTCTTTATTGTCTTTTGCTTAAATGGAGACATTTCATGGTTATATAATCTTTCTGAAAAATAATTTAAACATATATTATTGTGGTTGTCGTCATGTGTAAATACAGTGTGGATCATGTATAAAGTTTTGAGACTAACACTGTGGAGTCGATTATCTCTTTCTACTTTTATGTGGGTTCTTGGATCAAACTAGAAACGATGCACTAAGTCCTTGTCAGGGTTTAGTTATTTCGAGTCTATGAATCTAGTCCCTCTGACCCCATCTTAGGTGGGAGCGCTGGCACTTACAAATTATTTTGAGGTAGAGAAGCGCTGGCAAGTAGTCAGGGTTGTAGGGCAGTGCAGAAAGTCAAGAACGTAAACAAATACTGGTAATAACTAATTTTGAAAATATATCCCACGACCGTTAGGAAACAATGTGCTACAGCAGTTCCCCAAACCGTAAAATAGTGCTTTATAATTTACATTCTTCATTTCAACCTTTAAATCCTAAATCACGAGCACATTATAAATGACAAAAGAAAAATATGTCCTATACGTAACAAATAATTACAGAATGATCTGCAACAAGCATCTTTTCCTTTTGCTTTTATGACAGAATCTCCTTATGTATCCAAGGCAGACTTAACATGGTGATTCTCCTGCTCTCGCCAGCTGTTCAGGGCTAGAGAGGTGTGCTGCCCACCAACCACACTTGCAATGAATGTCTATCTGTCCATGTATTACATTAACATTTCCCATGTTACACCCACAGATACCCATTCATTAAGTTTAACACATTTACAACTTGACTGAAGAAAATAATACCTTTGAGTAGTCCAGAGTTATCAATGGGTCCAGGATAGACATTTTGATCTCCCATCTGGTATTTATCCCAACTGTCAAAGCCAACATATTTCTTCCACTGTTTGAACCAGCGACTATCTACTAAGTACCTACAAAGAGAAAGAAAATGGTTAATTAAAACACCTGGAAACATAAGAATAGGAACAGATCACTCTACTTTTGTTATTTCATTTTTTTCCCCCGAGACAGGGTTTCTCTGTAGCTTTGGAGCCTGTCCTGAAACTAGCTCTTGTAGACCAGGCTGGCCTCGAACTCACAGAGATTCGCCTGCCTCTGCCTCCCGAGTGCTGGGATTAAAGGCGTGCGCCACCACTGCCTGGCTGTTATTTCATTTTGTATTAAGAATGTCTCCAGGGGGCTGGAGAGATGGCTCAGTGGTTAAGAGCATTGCCTGCTCTTCCAAAGGTTCTGAGTTCAATTCCCAGCAACCACAAGAAATGAGGTCTGGTGCCCTCTTCTGGCCTGCAGACATACACACAGACAGAATATTGTATACATAATAAATATTTAAAAAAAAAAAGAATGTCTCCAAAGGATCACTGAGAACAAGAACAGTTTGAAATTACAGCCACACTGTCACCTGGAAGAAAAGAGTTCATTTGTAAAAAAGATTTTCATTGTTAAATAAGAAGTTATTACTTGAGACAAGTACTGACATAAAAATAGGAAAACAATCCCCGCAGCAATTTACAAAAGCATTCAAATGAGAAAAACTCAAGAAAACCCTAGTTAGTCAAACAAAACTAAAAAATAAATAATAAAAATAAAAAAATATAAAAATTTAAGGTACACTGTGGTAAGAAAGAAGTATATAAATGGTTCTACTAGAAACCTACAAATTTGTTTATATCTTATATTCTTTAATGTTTTTTGAAAGAAAGGACAGTCTATTATTAAGGGTTTAAAAGTTGATAACAGGAGTTTATTGCCAACGTTTTCAACACTACACTTGGCACGACTTCACACAACAGTGTTCTAAAGTCTCTGGGACATCACTCTAACCACAGCGGCTCCGGAGACACAGGGTAATTACTGTGTATAATGCACACTTTCAGGGATCACCATCCTAACATTTTTGAGCTTACCACATACATCACCAGAGAAATAAAAACCCACAGTTCTGTCTGAAAATAGCTAACGCAAAGGCACCAACCTAACAAATGCTTCTAATTCTTAGAGAATATTCATGAGCACTTTCCTTCCTAAGGGGATCTAAAGAATCCTGCAGTGCCCCAATCCCACTGCCGGTTATGCAACGCAAAGCTCTCACACTGCACAAGGTTTTGAGGTAGTAATTCTTAAGTAAACCCATTTTCCTTGATTAAAAACCATAAAATATATTTTGGCCACATTTTTCCATTGAAAATATGATCCTCTGTCTCGAAAAACCAAAAAAAAAAAAAAAGAAAATATGATCCTCCCCACCTAAATTCATTTTTAAAAGCCAATAAATACACAAAAAAGTCACTCAGTGAATTTTGGACTTCTCCTCCTTTGCAATTTAAGATTCTAAAACATGTGACTTGCTTTCTCTGTAGATACATGTCACACTAAGAGACATTTTCCCTATTTCACTCATTTATGCATTTATCATTGTCCCAATTCAATAGTGTTTTAATTACTTCAATTGTGAGACTGTTTAGAACATATCCTTCAGCTTATTGTTCTAACTGTTTCAATTGCATGTGGTCATTTGTGTTTTCAAAAGAATTTTAAATAATCTTATCAGGTTTCACAAAAAAAATGAAGATTATGATTGGAATTGCACTGAACTTAATAGAATAATTTGGGGGAACTGTGGCTTTAAATTATGATTCACAGGGATAGAATTTTTCTCAATTACTCAGGTACTATTTAATATCTTTTAAATAAATGTTAACAAAACATTTTCATTATTAAATAAGTAGTTACTACTTAAGGTCATGTACTGATATTAAAAAAATAAAATAATCCCTGAAGCACTTTATTAAAAAAATTCAAATGATACAAATTCAAGAAAACCCCTGTCAATGAAGCAAAACCTGGAAAAACTCAGTCACAGGGATTTCAGTTTCTCTACAAACATTTTACTTCTCTGCCAGGCACGGTGGCTCATGTTTCCACTCCCAGCATCCAGGAGACTCAAGCAGGAAGACTAGGTCTCCTGCCTACTAGGACGGTTGTCACTCAAAGACTAGGAGGATGCAGAGAAAGTGCAACTCTTGAGTTTTCGATAGGAATGCAAAATAGTGTTATTGTGGGAAACAAAATAATAAAAAAAATAGAGTAACTATATATGATTCAGCCACCCCTTCCTGACATATATAATATCAAGATGTTGAAAACACATATGCATTTCCATGTTCACTGCAGCATTAGTTTAAGACATAGAAAACAAGTTAAATGTCCACAGACAGACGAGCTGATATAGAAAATGTGGAACATACACACAAAACACTATTCAGCTTCCAATGGGAAGGAATTCCTGCTATATGTACTAACACAAACCAGGAGGGCTGAGCTAGATGAAAAAAAACCAGTTTCAACTGACATGAGGTGTGTAAAATACTCACAGTAAAGGGAGCAGATATAGATGTCGTACCTATCCAGTCTCAGTTATGCAGGAGGGCTGAGTTCAGAGTTGTGTGCTCTTAGCATGAGATAATTAAGTGGGAGACATACACTGCCACGCCTGACCGCCTGAGTTCCACTCCTAACACACACACACGGTGTAAGAAGAGAAGCTGTCCTCTGACGGAAGTGGAACATGAGTGCTGTGGGGATGCCCACATGCTACTCCAAGTGAATATGAATGCAACATATGCATCTTAAAAAGTCCTTATCACCATATAAAATTAAATTGAATACAATACAAACTGCATTGTACACTTAAGTAGTATTTTATATAAAACCAGGCAGAATGAGGGTGAGGCAAGGGAAATACCTTTGGACCTGGAAAATGAGTGGCTCTTAAATCTGGTGTTCTAGAGGTAAGAGACATGTAAACAGAGAAAACTACTTGCCTGTACTTAGTCTACAGAAATGTACAAGTACACACGGTTCAAACATCTATCTTAATTTACTATGTGTTATAAACCATATACTTCTCACCTGCTATTAAAATCTCCTGGTACATTCTGGGAAATCCACCTAGCACCAATTTATAGTAACCCACAAGTTGTAATACTTCTCAATTCCACCATAAGCAAATCTCATCTTTCACAATAAAATTTCATACTTATTTTGGCATTTATATATTTACTTAACATTAAAATTGTGGTACCACTTTTACAAGGCTTATAAGTATCACTAACAGAGTTTTGAGTGTTGTATATGTCTTATAATTTAAATTTTTTTATTATTTAATGTGTATGGGTAGTTTGCCTTCATTCATGTCTGTGTAACACACGCATGCAGGGCCTAAGGAGGATACCAGATCTACTGGAACTGAGTTACACATGTTTGTGAGATGCTATGTGGTTCCTGGGAATCAAACCTGAGTCCTCTGGAAGAGCAGCTGGTGCTCTGAACTGCGGCATCATTTCTCCAGCCCCATCCCTGGTCATTTTAACTGGGATCTTTTGCATAGCAATGTGGTTTATACAAACACAATCTGTGTTACAGCAGAGCTGGTATAAAAATTATAGATGGTTGAAGAATAAATGTGAGGGTCTGGGAATACAACTAAGTCTTAGAATCCCTGCCTGGTAAGTCTTTGAGTTTACCATTGTGCGCGCGCGCGGGCACACACACACACACACACACACACACACACAAATACAAGCAGGGGAGAAAGAGACACACGTACCAATGGACACGTGGAGCGCGTTAAGGTCAGAGAACAACTTTCAGGGGTTGATTTCCCCCCTTTCCTATGGGATACAGGAATGGAACTCAGGACATCAAGCTTGAGAAGCAAGTGCTTTTATATGCTAAGCCATCTTGCAGGCCTGGAACTTTTTGTTTAACAAAGACACCACCAAATAAAGGGATCAGCTATAGACCAGGGAAGATATTTATACTGCATTTAGCCAACAAAAGTTCAGGTTATATTAAAAAAGACTAAGTGAAAAAAGGGAAAGAAAAATAGGTAGTATCTAGAACAGGAAATTGAAATGGTCTCTACACTCCATAAGACAGATACTCAACATGGTAAGAGGGGAATTAACATCACAAAGAAACTCTTGATCATTTCACTGAAACTGAACAAACGAGCAAATATATACAGATGCCAATATTAAACATGAAGACCATGTATAGTAAATTAAGAATTTTTATGCTGCTAGAAGGAGCATGCAGGAATAAGCAATAACCCTAACTTCAAAAATAACTTGACAATATCTATTAAAGATGAAGATGTATCATACAATTATACAGGGAGACTGTTAAATTCTACCCTACAAAGACTCTTGGCTCGTATCTACAAGAATAAACTAAGAAGAATATTAATGGCAATTTAACATGATGAAAATTGGGGAAAATCAAGATATATACCATTCATATGGAAATATTACACAAAAATCTAAACAAAACTACAAGTACATGTAATAAGATGAATAAATCTCAATATTACAATGTTATATGAAAAAGGGCACAAAAGGATACTTTCTCTATGACATATAAGGCAATGTATATATGCACACACAGTATAATCATAAGAAAATTTAAGACATGCTACAGATCCTGTTATACAGATTCATGGATATGGAGTAAAGTATGAAGGGAATTACAAAGCTTCACATACAGTGTCTTTACAGTTTTTTTTCTTCTTTTCATATAACTGAAAGGGAAATTAAACATTTTCTAGGGTTAACTAGGCTTCACTGAATTAGGTTATAATTTTTGTTTATTATTATTTTATAGTAATTTTATAATAGCTTATTATTATATATTTACTTGTTATAGAATGACTGTATGTGAAGAGAAACAGGATTTTTAAAAATAAGATTATACTTTTAAGTAATTCAGCAAGAATCTTTACCTGAAAGTTGTTACCATAAATATATACAAATCAAAAATACTAAATAAACATCGTCCACTGCTCTAGTTTCCTAATCTTCCTCCTGGGGCATTCCCGTATCTCTGTTTACCTGTGTTATACCTGGGACTA